GACAGAGGAATGACTCACTGTCCTTGTGTTTCCAAAAAAAAATTAGTAATCCAGGGGTTTCATTCTAACTTCTTCTGCTCTTAGGGAAAAACACATTTTATGCAGTACTCTTCTAGCTTCTTACTTGTTTTATGTTTCTACAGCGACCAGGAGTGAAGGGGAAAAAATAGATCATGTCGGAGTTCTGGCTAATTTCTGCCCCAGGAGATAAAACAAATCTGCAGGCCTGGGAGAGAATGAACACGGTGACATCTAAATCCAACCTGTCCAGCAACAGCAAATTCCCTATTCCAGACTTGAAGGTAAAAGAGGAAAGGGTTTGGGTATGGGTAAAACAGCAACCCCAGCCAGGGGTAAAGACTTTGGGGATTAATGTGGGATTTATCTTCTGGGATAATATGCATAGAGTGGAAGAAGACTGCAATCACAGAATGAATTATAGTCAGCTGAAAATTGATCAGAGAGAAGTCATTCTGCTTGAGGCTCTTGTTAATATTGGGAAGATATACGTATAAGAAGTGAAGATGACCAGTTAAGTTACTGATCTATTGCATTCAGTTTACTATTTACTCCCAATCGTGAAAGTCATACTACATTGTACATCTTAGATCACTAATACGAAGGGAGTAGTTAAGTACCTAGAACGATACCAGTAAGATTGCTGACAAGGAAGACATTAGTCCTTGGGAAGTAGAGGTGGATGTATATTCAGCTGCATTGCCTGTTGTCATATAAATAGGAATTATTTAATCCTTATTTGAAATGATATGCAACTTATTTTTATTTCCCTTATGGGTATGAAGAATCCAAACATGTTCCATTAAAGTCAGTAGAGCTATATCAGATGTAGAACTTGGTTCCATGGGGAGCTGGCATCACCTATCGCTTGCAGGCTACACTTAGTGCATCCAGGATCTGGCCTTAATCGGAAAAAATTATTGACAATTGTAACTCGAGTTATTCCACTTACATAAAGATGTAAGTGAAATGGGAGTGGGGCCTGTTCTCAAATGACAGTTTTCACATGAACGTTGCGGGGTGGAAATGTTGTATTTCACATGTGCGTCTGAGATAGCTATGATTTTACCATCTATGCACCTTACGCAGCTGCTGTTGGTGTCAATCCGTAAGCGCCAAAGAAAGTAAAGCATTTGCAACATCTGAAGATGCAGCCCTTCTTATTTTGCTAATTGTTGTCTGTAAAATTTGTTTCCTTTCCTGTTCTCCTTCAGCCTGGCCCTTCATATAGCCTGCCACACTGAGCTGGCAACATTATGAGAAAAGATTCAGTAATATATTGTGATACCATAAATGCAGGATAGAGAATCATACAAAAACAGACGTTGGGCTTGGAGAAAATGCTTTTTATGAAATACTTAGTCTTTGGTAATAGCAAAGAACACAGTCAAAGACCCTCTTTGGAATAAGTATTGCTTCCCCTGGTTCTCTCTGTACATAAGATTTTTTTAATATCTATATTGTGTGCATTTCTATTCAATATTTTATAAGGTAAAAGACCAGTCTATGCTACTTGATGATTCCGGAATGAAAAATAGGAAGGAAGACACTGACATGTGATCTCGAGACTATATGTACAGTTTTTCCTTTACTGGAAAAAAGCTTTTTATGCCCTAAGTCTTGGGAAAAGCAATTGCTACTATTTTCCATTAAATGAATAAAGGTCTGCCAAAGCTGTTGAATTCATAAGTGCTTAATCAAAGTCAGCGCACCTAAGACTCTGCCAACAAAGACTTTACACAGCCTTGTGCATTTTTTACCCGTTTCTCATCTTTTGCACAGGTCGGGACACTGGATGCTCTGGTTGGTCTCTCAGATGAGTTGGGAAAACTTGATAGCTTTGCTGAAAGGTAAAATAGATCTTGTTTGCTACAAACAAATGAGAAACGGTATTTTGTTTTTATGGGATGGTATGTCCTTGCCTTCACCTCGGTCTGACTCAGTTTAACCCAGACCGCAACTCAGCTCAAGTGGATAGGCTTTGTTTAACCCTTGTGTTGATTATCATAGAATCATCACAAATAAAGGTCCATTCTTTAAAACCTGGCTGAGTGAAGTCAGTGACAGGTTTATCTGCACAATGAATCTGTTTGAGTGGCAGTGCTAGGGAAGCTGTTTCTCAGAGGGAAACTGCTAGAAAGTGTTCTCTTCTTAAGATCAGCATCCCCCTCCTCCCAGGAACTCAAATGAATAAAGCAGCATTTAGAGAATGTGATTTATTTTCTTTATCCTTTCATCCCTTATTTTCTTTTCTCAGAATATTCCTCGTGAGATTTGTGTCCTTTCTCAAACAGATACAGGAGTTCTAAGGAAGAAGTCCTTCTGAGAGATATCGGGAGCTATCCCACTCATATCTTTATACTCCCTGAAAGCCAGAATATTCACTCACGTTGTGTCAAACTAGCTCATGTACTGACTCACATGATTTCCTTGCTGATCATGGCCCACTTTGCCTTTTGGGCCAATCTGATCTGGGTGTACAAAGGACAATATAGCGCAGAAAGCTGAGAAAATACCTAATTATAAGATTTCATGGCACAAAGTAGACTTCACTTGTTGAGGAAATAAAAGAGTTATGGTCTTCGTCACAGAGGCAGATGTTAGCGCTAGGGCTAACTTTTTCCCTTTCTCCCCTAGCCAGGAATGCTTAAAGATTTGCTTGCCTAAATATGCTTGATACTTGCATGGATTTTGTCTGTCAGTCGCAAATGGATACGGAGCTAGTGATACAAGCTGTTTTTGACTTAGTGGTACTACAGCAGGGCCAGGGCTGAATTGGCATGTGATCACTCTGGGCTGGACACAATACTGACCTTTTTAGAGTTGCTTTTTCAGACTTTTTAGCAGAATACTTAGTTCATCCATAAAATTTCCCTTGTTGTGACCTTCTCCATCTGGCGGGGGAAACCCTGCCTCAAATTCTTTGCAAAGGTGTTCAGGCCTCTGGTTGTTACAGCAGAGATTGTTGGTGCTGGAATATGGGTAAGAATAAACAGTGCCAATACTAGTTATCTCTCCTAGCAGAAGGTGCATCTACCCACAGTAGCAAACAGCCAAGCAACTATGGGATTTGGGTTTGAGGGTTGCAAAAATCATGCAGAACTGGTTTTCAGAAGGGCACAACTAATTCCCAACTTTGTGAGGAATTAGGACATCTAAAAAATCTGCTGTAACTTATGTGCTCAGGTCATTGAGGGTAAATCTAAATGAAATATCAGTAGTACCTCCCTAGGCTCACTGTCTCCTTCTGTTACCTTTGTTGTAACTTAACAACATGGTACAATTCCTTGTTCAAGTCGAATACCACTTTACTCCACTAATTATCTATCTCTTTAATACCAGTAATGCCACTCATCATATAACATGCCATGGGCATTGAGCAGAGGGCTGAGTCGGGCCCTGACAGAGTGCGTTGCTGAGAAAAGGACTCTTCCTATTTGTCTTGTTTATCTATAGAGCTAAATAATCAAGAAGGAGCAAAGAGTTTTAATAGCAAGGAAAATGTGTTTAAGAAAAATGCATCAGGGTAGAGAAAGAGCAGAGAATAATCAACACAAATATATCAGCAGATAAAGTCCAACAAAGAAGTACAAAATCATTTTATACATTAAATAAATGTCTCAGGTTTTGATTATAAATTGTTATTCAAGGGTTAAAGTGCCAAGCACTTACACTTAGTTGAAGTAAATGACATACAGAGGGTTACAAGCCTGTTCAAATGACCTGAGCATTTACATTCCTG